ACCTCAAGGATGGATTTATACTTTGGGTGGAACAAATTCAGGAAGCGAAAAGTTCTGTCGCCAGTTTAAACCTACTTTCCTGCTAGATCCAGATTTAGCAACCTTGTGGTTGTTCGCAGTTTGAGAACTATAGAATATTATTATAGAAACCGATTCCAGTTACCCTAGTTACTTGTTATCATCAGTTTTCAGGATGCACCATTAGTATAGCGTAATATAATCATTCTTATCACCTGTGGCCATGGCATTCTTATTTGAATTCTTGATTATTCTTGTTTTAGTTTTCGATAGACTCACTTGGCTTAACGATTTTTATCTATCTTTTTATTACCTGTGGCTGATGGTCTTGTTTTGTGTGACCTGTATTTTTAAGCTCAGAGAGAATCAATATTTTAAATAGGTTTCTTATATTTAGTTACAAAAAATAAATATAAAAAATGTTTTGAAAAAAAAAAGTGAACAAATGATAGTTATTGTTTACTTTACTGATTAAAAAACCAATATTGTTAAGAAAAGTATATAGACTTTATTATTATAAAAATATAAAAATCTTTTAAAAAAACATCTGTTTTAAGAATTAATAAAAGAATTATTAATTTTGAATTTTTAAAAAATTTTTTATTTTTATTTTTTAAAATATAAATAATTGTTATAATTTTATTTAACTTTTTATTATAAGAATATTTGAAAATTCAAATCTATTTTTATATTATATATTATATTTTTTGAATTTTCTTATATATTAAAAGATAATCTAATATTTTTTCTTGAAAATAATAAAATATAATTTAATATGATTTAATATTTTTTGAGCTTTATATATATTTTTTTTTTTTTTCCGTAATCAAACAAGTATTTATTATGTTTATTTAATCTTTTTTAAAGAAGACATAATCATATATATATGACTTTTATGCATAAACTAACTACTTATACTTGAATACCCGTCTTAGGTAGTTAACCTCTAGATATGATCTTGAAGATGAATAAAGTTGCTCCCTCTTGCTTCCTATTCCTAAGGAAACTCAAGTTCATTGCCTGCAGTTCATTACTACAGTTCATCTTGGCAAAATCTTGATTACTTTATATTCCTAATCATTTTTTCCCTTCTTTTATCTTGTCCCATAGTACCTTTATAAGTTCAGGTGTATGATTTGGACTGGCTGCCATAGATGACTGAGCTGTCCCTATTTTTGAGCTTGAGGAGCCTTGCTGCAATGCTTCTTTCTTCTCCTAAAAGTTTTGTATACCTCTAAGCTTCTGCTTAGGTGTGGTAATCTCTTTTCTTTTGCCTTTTCCTCGGAAGTTCCTTTTGCGCTCTTGGATCTTTTCACATCTTGGATTCCAGATCAGATGTCTCATCTTTTTATATCAGAAGTTTGAAAGTTTGTTTGGGATTCTCCTGGATTTGACTTTGGTGATCTTAAGTGACTGGAAAGTATTGGTCCATTCTTTTATATCTTCTCTTGCTCAAAGACCAATAGTTATATTAATTAAATCCTTGGCCGAATTGGATTTTTCTTCCTATTTACTAAAGAGTGTGTTTATTGCTAACTGCTTTCCATCCACTTTTTTATCCGAGTGTTGTGAAATCCAAGTTGATATGAGTTTATCTTAAGCCTGGTGCCATATGTTCTTTTTGAGTTCTTGTATCTCTCCACATGTGAGTAGGTGATCTAGGGTTTCTTCTTGCTGCTGGCAGAATACATATAGGCTGTTGGGCATTTCTAGGGAATTTCTTTTGATTAGAATTTCCATTGTTGAAAGCTCGTTATGCATTAGTCTGGCCTTAAATGTTCTGTATCCTGCTACTTTGAGAGAAGTATTTAGAGATCCTTCGTCTCTATTGAAATCCCAGAGACCTTTCCAGTCGAATTTTTCAGGGTTTTGAATTTCTTCTTTCCATCTTTGCTGGATCCGATTTTGTGATGCCCATTGTAAGAGTATTTCCCTTTCATTGTAATCTTTAAGAAATGCCCTGGTTGAAATGTCAATGGGAATTTTGTTCCACTCCAGTACAATGATAGGAACCGTTGTAGATAGGGGTCTCCAGTGAACTTCTGATTTCTCCTTAACCTTTTTAGTCAACTGATTTACCTGGTTGTTGTAGGAGTCTTTGCTATGTACTTTGACTTTGATAAGCTTTAAGCATAACTTCTTCTTGGATACTATATCAATCAGTCTTGACCAGAGCTGTCAATTCAGTTTTTTCATTCATTTTTTGGGAGTTACCTTAGGATATGGATTTATTATTATTGCGAAGGTATTTATGCAAGAAGAGCTGTCTGTTCTAATTTCAACTGTGCTACTGTTTGGTACTGACAGAGTTGCTAAGATAATTGTTACCAGTTTCACTCTAGTTGATGAGGGCCAGTTGTTTACAGCTGCCTAGAATGATCTTCCCAGGTTGGGTCCTTCAGTTTATAACCATGCTGCATTTATCCTTAAGACCTGATCCTGTACTTGTCCTAGAGATCCATTAGTGTAAAACTGATATAAGCCTATATAATTCTGGATTATGTTAAGCTAATATTTTTCGTATAGCAGATTACGAAGATCTCCTGCTAGCAAGTTTTCTTGTATAATTTGTTTACCATAGTCTTTGATTTCTACAAATTGGAATTTGGACATGAATGTATCTTGCAGATATGCTTTTTCCATTTTATCCTTGACCAAGTTTTCTAGTGTATAAACATCTATAGAAATTGTTGGTTTTTTGTTTCGCCTATATTTTTTAATATATATTTTTTGAGCTTTATATTTTTTTATATATTTTGTATATTTTATATATTTTTTTTAATATTAATATTTAATTATTTTTTGATATTATATATTATAAAATCTTTTTGAAATTAAATAAAATAGAGTTACTATTATCTATAATAATAAATTTTTAATATAAATGATTATATTTTTTTATTATAATAAAAAAATTTTTATATATAAAAAACTATTAACTTTAAAATAATAAAATTTAATAAAAAATGTGGATCTATAGCACAGTGGTTAATGCTCCACAGGTCAGATTACAAGATACCGGTTCAATCCTATGTGAAGGTGATTGAATAGATTGTCATAGTATCTGGCACCATAACCAGTCATGTGCTATTTCTCATAAGAAGCCATTTCACACACTAATCCAGCGAGCATTGAGATTGTGATCTTTCCATTAAAGTGAAGTAGTGGGACGATCGTCTGGCTGGTGTTACGATGGTCGTCAAACAAAAGGTGTCATCACATATTTGGATATACAGACTGGGCTGTACTTCATCTTATCTAATCCTTATCAACTACCAATCATAACCACTTATTTGGATGCACAGACTGGGCTGTGCTCCATCTTAACCAATCCCAATTCGCCATTTCCTTCCCCCCCTGCTGATTAACAAATAAGGAAGCTTTGAAGAAAGTACTAAAACGATACCAAAATCTTGTGGAATATGATATATCACAACCATTACTATTTGTAGGAGTTGCATTCTGCTTGACATTCATGCCCCTAGATTTGGCAGTCAACGCCAACTGGTTCTGAACTGGAATGTCTATTAGGAGATAAAAGGCTACGGTCCTTAGGAGTCGTACCCCACTTGACCATAAGAGCCCTTAGATTTGGCAGCTAGAGCCAACCAGCGAATCAAAAGCTGAAGCATTCACTAGAGAGTGCAAGTATATAGTATCAGGACCTCCTCTGCCACAGGATGAAAGTGTGAAAAGGTGTGATGTGATAAGTAACCTTAGGAAATAATCAGTAATATTGACTGCCCTTACAAATTGGACTGGTAGATTAGATGGTTTAAACTAGTGGTAGGACTTTCACCTCCTAGTTAGGTTCCCTTCAAAAATATGAATCTACTTCATGAGTGTTACTAGTATCGCTGGGGTAATAAGTAGATAGATTAGCATTTAACTGTTGTAATAGCAATAGATAATATTTGATATATATGTAATTAATAATTATCTCAATAAAATCCCTGCATCTAATGCCATTCTACTATAAAAAAAAAATAAAAAATAAAAAATAAAATTTAATAAAAAATTAATTTATTATTGATTTTTGATTAATATATTTAAATTTTTGAATTAAATTTTTAAAAAAATAATTCATTAGAATTGAAATATTAATTAATAAAAACAAACTAAGTAATATTTTTTTGAATATTTTTAAATTTAATAAAATATAAAGTTGTTTTTGAAATGTATTTTACAATATATAAATAATTTATCAAATTATTTAAATAAATAAATATTTATTTACATATTAAAAAAACAATTATAAGAAAAATAATTATAACATGTTTTTTCTTATATAATATATAAAAAAACAAGGTTTTCATTTTAGGCTTGCATTTTTTTAATTAATAAAAAAAAGAATATAAAAAAAATATTTTGAAATTTTAATAATATTATTAAAAATTATTGAGTTTTTATATGAATATATACATTTAATTTTATCTTTAATTATTTATTAAATAGCAAATTAAAAATTTGTTTAAATAAACTGCATATAAAAAAAAGATTTGTTTCTAGTAAAAAAAAATCTTTTTTATTTAATCTAATCTTTAGTATTTTTACCGTTTGATCTAATACTAAAATTGAAAAAATTTTACATCTGAATTTGGCACACAATACAAAATGGGCAAATTATCATCAGCCAATAGATCAATGCTAAGTCACATCATTTTGCAGTTGTTGGTCATTGACAAGTTTTTTTATAAAAAGAAACTTCTACGATTAGCATCATCATAAGACTGGTCAGGAATAGATCGTCCCGATATGGGCCGATGAATGCATCATGTGACAAGGAAATTGTATTTATTATTTGCCACACCATTAATTGCATGAGAAAATTTTTTCTTTCCCAAAGCGACACTTTTCAAATTCACCGTTTAATAAACACCACCCCTTAAAAGCTTTCTGGATAATTAAACCATCACTGCTTGTGAAAATGGATAATAGTAGTAGTATTAGATTGAGAAACCTGAATAGTAGTAGTAATAATTATGAATCTCAATCTCGCGGAACTCAACTTCTCGCAATTTCGAAACGAAATACCACTTCTGCTAGCAAGAGGGAATACTTCTATTATTCTACCTGTAAGTTTGAGACAGATATATATTTGTTGATGAGAACTTTATTCATATTTTTTTTTTTTTTGATTAGTGGGAAAGAAGATTGGATGGTATTCCTGTAAGTAGACTTGAATTTTCCCTTTAGTAGTCAATAGAGAATTATCAAAAACATTAGTTTTCTTAATTATACGATACAGGACATGACCCCCGAGTTTTTCTTGAACTTGGGGGAACACATCTTAGCCTTTGACAAAACTTCATCCTTTACCAAAAAGTTTTTCCGTGGTGTTCCGGCCAAGGTTGATCAAGTAAATATAATTTCTTTACACGATCCTCAAAATTGCATATGGGAAGGATTTGTCATGGATGGAATATTTTTCTTGGAAGGAAATATAGAATTGAAAGAAAGGTATGTTTCATTAATTTTTTAAATTATATTTCATTTACTATGTATGCATCAGTTTTGTGGGTTGTAGATTAAAAATTTTGTCAGGTAACACATATTTTATATAACCAAATTGCATTGGTTTGACTACTACGAGGAAAATGCATAATTATCTGATAATATTGATCATGTGATGTTTGAGTGAATTTAAGAAGTTGTAATCCATTTATGCATGTCCAAAATTTTGAATATTTTATTTATTTATCACAGAATGGTCTCGATCATCGAATTAGCAGAGGAAAGCCTAAAATGCAATTCTTTAGTTGTGTGCCTTGATAAAAAACTTCCTAATATATGTGAGTGTTTTTCATTATATTTGCATCAAATATTACGTGCGAGACTCAATCTAACTTATGGTGTCGTCCGTCTAGCAACCTTTATTCGCGACTTCTTGTATGTCGGCTTCGAACTCGTCTGGCCTGGAACAATAGATCATAACACCAATGAATATATTCTTGTGGGCATGGAATTATGACCCATTCATTACCTTTGCATTAATAAGTTTTGTAGTTAGAACTAGTCTCCCCCATTTCTGTATAATCTTTTTTTTTTTTTTTAGCGAAACACTTGTAATTTCATAATTTTATATCTATACGCATACGATACTTGCTAATCTTACATGTTTATTTTGATGTACAGAGTTAATAAATAAACGATGAAATAAATTCATAATTTGTGTTCAACTAAAATTAAAAGACATTCGTGAGTGGATTAGTTAGAATGGAAACTCAGTTCACGTGGAAATCAATGCTTACTACAATATTTTGTATGTTGTGCCGTGACAACGATCCTTCCCGTCGTTTTCTCTTTTATGAGAGTATAAATGTTCGCCAGCGACCTTCCAATTCTATAATTAACGCATTCGATTACAATTGTATCACCAATACCGGCAGTCGAAACATACGATATTGCAAGGTCAGTAGACACACCTCCATCTCTATATCTCTTGTCTTGGATGAAACGATTGATGATTAAATGTTCAGAAATAAAAAAAAAAAAAACCAAAAAGAAAAGAAATACCTTGACTTGAAATTAATGTAGCGGTGCTCAGAGTGTCTATTATACTCGCAACAGACCCACCAAATAACGTATTCATTCTATTACATTCTTCTTTTTTCACGACTAATTCGAAGACGCATTTTTTACCCGAGGCGTATAACACCTTGGTCCTTTGAAGAAAAGTCATTAAGTGAAATTCAATATCAGGCGGGTTGTCAAAGTAGTCTTGAATTTTTTTAACTAATTTTGGGTCGTTAGTCTCGGACATGTTGACGAAAAACTTGTATAGGAGAAAAACGATTCACAATGAAAAATGAGCATTCTTTTTATTTATTACCACATTTAATTAGAATTCATTGTCATTGTATAATAGAATTATAAAATAATTATTTTACATTAATTATTCTATTATTAAATTATATAAAATATAAAAAAAATATTATAAAACATTTTTTTTTTTTATCATAAAAAAAAAAATTTAATACCATTTAAAATTCTTGTTCACTGACTGTATATTATATTTACGATACTTGCTTTTTTCTATTTTAAAAAAGTTGTTTCTAAAATTCAATTTATTATTTATTTCTTTTTACACACTAGTTTATTTGTTAGGTGAGAATGTATATCCTAGAAAATCACTGGACTTTCTAGATTTTCTATTTGTGTAATAATAAATATGCTTGCATGCGCCCAACATACCAGATACTCAGTTTCTCTACAGTCAATTCTCACGACAAAATGAACAAAGGAATATTAATGGTTCACGTAGGCAAGTAACTATGTCGTGGGTTGCTTGTTTGTTTGTTTATTGGAATGCTAAATTCCGAAATCAACTTTCTTTTAACTAGTCGAAGGTAAAAACCTTAGAGACATGGACGACCTTGGTAGGTTACTATTATTCAAATGCTTTTAATGTTCAGTTGTTAAATGACCTGTCAACTTACACATGATTTTGTCTTATTTACTTCCGAATAAAGGTCAAGGTAATAATTAATAAAAAAACTTGAATACTTTTACGACAAATAATTTCTCGACTGTGTGGACGTGTTGTTAAATTGCTCATTATCAACCTCAGGTGACCCTTATGCGCAAGTTTGGTTGGATAAACGCGAGCACAAATTTCAAACAGAAGCAAGAAGTGGAACTTCTACGCCCGTTTGGGACAGAATTTTTCACTAGTAGGTTTTTTTAATATCATAATTGGCGCAAGTTAACTCGGTGAATGTACGATGTGAATCGTTAATTTGTTTCAACATTATCCAGTAATGTAAACGGCCAATCCGAACTTCATATTAAAATTTTGGACTCCGATGTTTTTACCGATGATGAGGTAATAAATGTTCTAGTTTTTGGTGTAGTTGCAAATGAATTGTCAGTTTTGTTCAATAATTCGTTCCTTAATTAGATTGGTTGTGCCGTAGTACCTCTCGAAGAAATTTACCGAAGTTATTATACCGATTTTTGGGTTAAATTGCCAGATCATTTAGGTCGAAGTAATGGGGAAATTCGTTTGGTTTTGGAATTTATTCCATGTTAACTTCGATTCATCTGTCATCTGTAGTTAGATAGTTGAATTTATTAAATTTATCATTAAATATCTATGTAACACAAGTTATTGTCCTGTAAATTTACCAATGTTATCACGTGATGTCTGTGGCTAAACATATTCATTTCGCGATCACTTTTTGAGAACGATGCTCAATGAACAAACTTCGCAATTTGTCCGTGCCCCTTTTGTACTCGCGGGGGCGTTCTCCTCCTATTAAAACCAACAATTCCCTATCACTTCTTAGGTTAACTGTTGTTCCAAAAAGATTCTCGACCGAGGATGCAGCTATAGTATCTACCGACAAATCAACTGATGCCTTGGAACAGGCGACTAACCGAAGTCTTCCCTTGTACAAATCTCAAGTCAAATAATATCCTATGATCACACGACATTTACTTAAAAAATTTCAGGGGGATGACCTACATCACATTTATTGAAGTAATATTTTGGAACAAATTATAAGAAAAGATTCCAAACATACAGGAGGAATCTTACACTCGGTAAATCTCACAGAAGTTTCTTCTCATTCAAAGACTAGTTTTTCTAATTACACTGTAAATAAGGCATACATTTTAATGATGATGTGGTTTACGTTCGAACCTTATTCCGCCTATCAAAAACATGAAATTAAAGACGTTGCTGCGATTAAAATGAATCAGATGCAAAAACAAGCGGACAGGGAACTTACAATATCCACAAGCGTGGGATCCTGGTTGATCCTTTTTGTCATGGGTAGAGATTAGAATAAGTAGAAATTTCTAACATGAAAGCTCACGACAATTAATGCAAATACAATTCACCAAATTTATGTATATTTGTGGATGACCTAGCGCTCCCCCTCCTAAAGGATAAATGAAGTTCTTGGTGAGCAAACCAGACGGTCTGACTCAACCGCATCAATGACTTACCTCCGTGACACACGGCAGTTCGACCTTCCACGTAATGTATTGGTTCTTCGGCAATTAACTCTATTGCCGCCAGAGGTTTTGGCTGTTGTATGAATATAGAGAAGGGTCAGTTGAACTGCTCGCAATAATAATAATAATAATAATAATAATAATAATAATGGGGAAGTGTCAAACGGATGTATAAATAATTTTCTAGGAACTTCCAACATGCCTGGGCTTCCAGATCAGTTTGTTCGAAACGAGGTCCAACCAGGGCATCTTTTCTTGTTCGTTGAGATTTTGACCAGGGAAGACTTCGGTTAGTCGTCTGTTCCAAGGCATCAGTTGATTTGTCGGTAGATACTATAGTTGCATCCTCGGTCGAAAATCTTTTTGGAGCAACAGTTAACCTAAGAAGTGATAGGGAATTGTTGGTTTTAATGGGAGGAGTACGCCCCCTCGAGTACAAAAGGGGCACGGACAAATTGCGAAGTTTGTTCATTGAGCATCGTTCTCAAAAAGTGATCGCGAGATGAATATGTTTAGCCACAGACATCACGTGAGCATATAAAAATGAATAACATTGGCAAATTTACAGGACAATAACTTGTGTTACATCAGATATTTAATAATAAATTTAATGAATTCAACTATCCGACTACAGATGAAAGTTAACATGGCATAAATTCCAAAACCAAACGAATTTCCCCGTTAACTCGACCTAAATGATCTGGCAATTTAACCCAAAAATCGTTATAATAATTTCGGTAAATTTCTTCGAGAGGTACTTTGGCACAACCAATCTAATTAAGGAACGAATTATTGAACAAAACAGACAATTTATTTGCAACTGCACCAAAAACTAGAACACTATTACCTCATCATCGGTAAAAACATCGGAGTCCATAATTCTAATATGAAGTTCGGATTGGCCGTTTACATTACTGGACAAAGTTGAAACAGATTAACATTTCACATTATACATTCACTAAGTAGATTTGCGCCAGTGATGATATTAAAAAAAAACTTACTAGTGAAAAATTCTGTCCCAAACGGGCGAAGAAGTTCCACTTCTTGCTTCTGTTTGAAATTTGTGCTCGCGTTTATCCAACCAAACTTGTGCATAAGGGTCACCTGAGATTGATAATGAGCAATTTAACAACACGTCCACAATCAAGAAATTATTTGTCGTAAAAGTATTCAAGTTTTTTTTTTATTACTTATTACCTTGACCTTGATTCGAAAATAAACAAGACAAAATCATGCGTAAGTTGACAGGTTATTTAACAACTGAGCATTAAAAGCAATTGAATAATAGCAACTTACCAACGTCGTCCATGTCCCTAAGGTTTTTACCTTCGACTAGTTAAAAGAAAGTTTGATTCGGAATTTAGCATTCCAATAAACAAACAAGCAACCCACGACATTGTTACTTGCCTACGTGAACCATTAATACTCCTTTGACCATTTTGTCGTGAGAATTGACTGTGGAGAAAAAGAGTATGTTGGGCGCATACAAGCATATTTATTATTACACAAATAGAAAATCTAGAAAGTCCAGTGATTTGCTAGAATATACATTCTTACAAGATGATATATTGTATACCTAGCAAATAATTAAACAAATACCGTGATAATTTAAATAACTTTTTTAAAAAATAACCGTATCCTTAATTTATTATTTAAAGTAAAAAAATAAAATAAAAAATAAAATCTCGAAAATTAATCCATTTTTTTAATATTTTTTTTGTTTTACATAAATTTTTATTTAATATAAATTTTTTTTGTATACTGTATATAGTATATTATTATTATGAAAATAATTCTATTATATAATGACAATGCTGTTTTCATTTAACAATGAATTGATAATAAATAAAAAAGAATTTTTATTTCCATTGTGAATCGTTTTTCACCTGTCTAAGGTTTTCGTCAACATGTCCGAGACTAACGACCCAACATTAGTTAAAAAAATTCAAGACTACTTTGACAACCCGCCTGATAGTGAATTTCACTTGATGGCTTTTCTTCAAAGGACAAAAGTGTTATACGCCTCGGGTAAAAAATGCGTCTTCGAATTAGTCGTGAAAAAAGAAGAATGTAATAGAATGAATTCGTTATTTGGCGGGTCTGTAGCGACTATAATAGACATTCTCAGCACCGCTACATTAATTTCAAGTCAAGGTATTTCTTTTCTTTCTGGTTTTTTTTTATTCCTGAACATTTAATCATTAATCGTTTCATCCAAGACACGAGATATAGAGATGGAGGTGTGTCTACTGACCTTGCAATATCTTATGTTTCGACTGTCGGTATTGGTGATACAATTGTAATCGAATGCGTCAATTATAGAATTGGAAAGTCGCTGGCCAACACTTATACTCTCATAAAAGAGAAAACGACGGGAAGGGTCGTTGCCACGGCACAACATACAAAATATTGTAGTAAGCATTGATTTCCACGTAAATTGAGTTTCCATTCTAACTAATCCACTCATGAATGTTTTTATTTTAGTTGAACACAAATTATGAATTTATTTCATCGTTTATTTATTTACTCTGTACATCAAATAAACATGTAATATTAGCAAGTATCGAATGTGTATAGATATAAATGTTATGAAATTGCAAGTGCTTCGCTAAAAAAAAAAAATTATACAGAAATGGGGGAGACTAGTTCTAACTGCAAAACTTATAAAAGCAACGGTAATGAATGGGTCATAATTCCATGCCCACGAGAATATAATCATTGGAGTTGTGATTGTGGTCAATTGTCCCAGGCCAGACCAACTCAAAGCCGACATAAAAAAAGTCGCGAATAACGGTTGCTAGACAGACGACACCATAAATTAGCTTGAGTCTTACACTTAATATTTGATGTAAATATGAAGAAAAGAACTTACATATATTAGGAAGTTTTTTATCAAGGCACACAACCAAAGAATTGCATTTTAGGCTTTCCTCTGCTAATTCTATGATCGAGACCATCCTGTGATAAATAAATAGAAATACAACTTCTTAAATTCACTCAAACATCTCATGATCAATATTATCAGATAATTATACATTTTTCTCGTAGTAGTCAAAAGACCAATGCAATTTGGTTAAAATAAAATATGTGTTACCTAACATTTTTAATCTACAAACCCACAAAACTGATGCATACATAGTGAATGAAATATAAATTAAAAATTAATGAAACATACCTTTCTTTCAATTCTATATTTCCCCCCAAGAAAAAGATTCCATCCATGACGAATCCTTCCCATATGCAATTTTGAGGATCGTGTAAAGAAATTATGTTTACTTGATCAACCTTGGTCGGAACTCCGCGGAAAAAGTTCTTGGTAAAGGATGAAGTTTTGTCAAAGGATAAGGTATTGTGTTCCCCCGGGTTCAAGAAAAACTCGGGGGTCATGTCCTGTATCGTGTAATCAAGAATTCTAATGTTTTTGATATTTATATATTGACTACTAAAAGGAAAATTCAAATCTACTTACAGGAATACCATCCAATCTTCTTACCCACTAGTCAAAAAAAAAAAAATAATAAATAAGAATAAAGTTCTCATCAACAAATATATATCTATTTCAAACTTACGGGTAGAATAATAGAAATATTCCCTCTTGCTAGCAGAAGTGGTATTTCGTTTCGAAATTGCGAGAAGTTGAGTTCCGTGAGGTTGAGATTCACAATTACTACTATTCAGGTTTCTTAATCTAATACTACTACTATTATCCATTTTCATAAGTAGTGATAGTTTAATTATCCAGAAATCTTCTAAGGGGTAGTGGTTATTAAACGGTGAATTTGAAAAGTGTCGCTTTGGAAAGAAAAAATTTTCTCATGCAATTAATGGTGTGGCAAATAATAAATCCAATTTCCTCGTCACATGACGCATTCATCGGTCCATACCGGGACGATCTATTCCTGGCCTGATGTTAATCGTAGAAGTTTCTTTTTATAAAAAAACTTGTCAATGACCAACAGCTGCAAAATGATGTGACTTAGCATTGATCTATTGGCTGATTATAATTTGCCATTTTGTATTGTGTGCCAAATTCAGATGTATCAAATCAAACGGTAAAATAATAAAGATTAGATTTTTTTTAACATATTGAATTTAATATATACAGTTTATTTAAACAAATTTTTAATTTGCTATCTAATAAATAATTAAAGATAAAAAATATATTTATTAATATTAAATAAATATTGTAAAAAAATAATAAATTTAAAATAAAAAAAAAATCTTTTTTTTTATATCAACTTTTTTAATAATTTTTTCAATATACTGTATATACATATTATATATGTATATTTTTATTTTAAAAATTTCAAAAATATTAAAAAATAATATCAAAATATAAGAATAAAATTTTTAATTAAGAAAATACAAGCTTGAAAATCTTGTTTTTTATAAATTACATATAAAAAAAAATATGTTTTAGTTGTTATTTTTTAAAGTTTTTTTAAATTTATTTGTTTATTTAAGTAATTTAATAAATTATTTATTCATCTTAAAATATATTTCAAAAATAATAATATATTTTGTTATGTTTTTAAAAATATCAAAAAATTTTATATAAAAAAAACTAAAATTTATCAATTTATCAAATTTTTAAAAATATCAAAATTAATAATAAATTATTTATTAATTAAATTTTACTGTTTTTTTTTAATCTATAATTAGGCTAAAATTATTTATTTATTTTTTTATTTTTTTAAGTAGATAAACTTCATTTCTTTATTTGATTTGTATATAACAGGATATATATCATAAAAAAAACAATATCTCTCATGTGTTGATACAATGAGTTAAATGCTAGCTTGCCTACAGTAACCATATGACTAATATTGAAA